AGACCTCATACTCTTTAAAAATCCTGGGATCTCCAGTTTAATCCCATATTTTTTTTTCTTGAAAATATACAGAAGGACTCAGTATTTATTGCCCTGTGGGTGTGTAAGTTTTCAGGAAACAGGGCAGGGACTTTGATCGAGTGAAGACCAAGTCAGTCAAGTCTTCAACGCTCTCTTGTGATTTTTGTATGTATACTTTTAATTAACAAATTTTAAAAATTGTAAATGGAGACCGGTAGCCATTTCACCAGTTTATGACATATTTTAGACAGAAGGTTGAAAACCCAGTATTATTGGACTTCTGCCAAAGTAACATTTGGATGAGCAGATTACATTTATCTTCAGATTTTCTTTTCTTTTCTTTTTTTTTTTTTTTTTTTTTTTTTTGAGGGAGATGAATATGACCAAAATACAATGTATAAAATAATTCTCGGGGTAGGGGGTGTAGGGTGTTGGTTTGTTTTGTTTTGTTTTTCTCTGTGTAGTCCTGGCTGTCCTGGAACTTACTCTGTAGACCAGACTGGCCTTGAACTCAGCGATCCACCTGCCTCTGCCCCTCAAATGCTGGAGTTAAAGGTGTGCACCACCACTGGCCAACCCAGCTAAAATTCTTAAAGATTTAAAAATAGTGAAGTGAGTTCAAGGAAGTGCTGGGCTGGTGGCAGCTTACACCTGTAATCCCAGCACTCGGAGACAGGCAGGCAGGCAGGCAGGCCTGGCTCATAAATCAAGTTCTAGGTCAGCCAGGGCTGCATAGTGGGACCCTGTCTTTGAAAATAGTAAGGATAGTAAAATAAAAGGCACTGCTTGAGGAATTATAATGGGGATGGCAGAACAGTACAGGTTCAGAAAACATCAAAGTTGATGTGAGACTTTGAATTTAGGCTTCGTTGTGAATCCTACAGAATCTAGTTTTTAGACATTTAGTATGCTCCAACAAGTTTCACAGTGAGAAATCCCACTTAAGTTTAGACAAAATCAGCCCCTGATTGCTTGGATTCCTGTTTGGGACTGACCAGTGTTTACTTACTAAATGTTTGCTCTTTCCAATGCAGATAACAATGAAGATGGTGCCAAAAATGCTCTCTCCTCTGGTTAAAGATTGGGCTCCCACAGCATTTATAGTTTCCTTTAAGCTGGAGACGGACCCGAACATCATAATTAACCGAGCTCGGAATGCTTTGGAGGTTTATCAGCATCAGGTGGTGGTAGCCAACGCCCTCGAGTCAATACAGTCCTTTGTGATTATCGTAACCAAAGACTCAGAAACCAAGTTAGTGCTCTCCGAGGATGAGGTAGCAAAGGGCATGGTGATAGAGGAGAAGATCGTGCAAGACCTTCGGTCTCGACACACCGCATTTATATGTGACAAAAACTGAAGGCGAAGTAGCAGGGTTCTTAACGCCGATGAGAACAGAACTAAAGCTAATCCCTTGCTAAGGATAAAGACAATGAGGGAACGGTAAGAGCTGTGAGCAGGCAAATAGCTGTTGGTATTTCACTGCTGTGCCTCAACAGCTTGACAAACTGGTTCTGATTTGGAAACTGAACAAGAACTGTTTTTCACTTTGACAAAGCTGACTGTGGGATTGCATCCTCTGCTGAACGGACGGGACTGGAGCTGAATGACAGTCTGCTGTGGGACAGCAGGATCGTGGGTTCGTGACTGGTCGTGCTCTGAAGATCAAGTACTTATCAAGTGCCTACCGTGTGCCAGGCCCTGTTCGAGCTATGAGGGTTTAAGAGATGAAGAGACGCGTCTCATTCGGGAACTGGATTTTAAGTGCAATAAAATATGTGCCCACAAACTGACACATGAAAAGGGTGGGATTTTTGTTTGTTTGTTTGTTTGTTTAAGATTTAGTGAACTGGCCGTAGTGGCTCACCCCTTTAATCCTAGCATTCAGGGAGACAGGGGCAGGCAGATCTCTGTGTGTTTGAGGCCAGCTTGGTTTACAAAGCAAGTCCAGGAGAAGCAAGGCTACACAGAGAAACCCTGTCTCAAAACAAAAAGATTTAGTTATTTTTATCTTATGTGTTTGAGTGTTTGCGTGCATATATGCTTACGCACCCATATGCAGTAGGAACTTTTGGAGGCTGGAAGAAGGAGTCAGAGCCTCTGGAACTAACTGGATTTCCAGAAGTTGTGAGCTTCCCCGTAGATACTGGGAATCAAGCCTGAATCTTTTAAAAAGAAACAAGTGTTACCTGAAACAAGAATGAGACAGATACTTCCCTAAAGATAGACTGTAGATCACAGACCTTCCTACATTGACTTTTTGCCTCTTGTCCTAGCGTTATTCCTTAGTTAAGTAACACTTGCCAAATATTTTAGAACTGTTCTTCAGGTAAATAACTGGCCTTCCACTTGAGTTGGCAGGAGCTAAATGATTGACTCTACCCTGCACGAGGTGTTACAGTGTGGTAAAGAGTTTGGGGTTGGGAGAGTTAGCTGGGCCTTCTGTCAGCTTCATAGACTTAATCTCAGTTTACTTATCTACAGTGTTAAGGATGAACAGTAATTCTGGAGATGGAACATTGGTCTCCTGTCTGGCGCTTCACTCTCAGGAACTTGGTGCAGTTACTATTTTTCTTGGCAGATCAGGCCAAGATCACTGAGTCCATGAGAAGTTCACTACCCTGAGAAGTTTTCACTGAGTGTATACCTATTGCAGAAAAATCTCCTGTAAATGAGCTATAGGATAGTCCTGAATGCAGTTGAGGAAAAGCGCTACTACTGGTTAAGTAGAAGTAAGTGGTGCTCTACATAAATTTTGATCCCTGATGGTGAAACAGGTTGAGCATTTGGCTAGCATGTGCAGGCCTTGGCTATGATCCAGAGCAATGCAAAGGCTGTAAGCCAGTTAGCTTACAGTACAACTCAACGTCATGGAGGTGGGAAGGGTAGGCTGATGTCCCACTGAGAAGGCAGTACGGACAGTTTCAGTCATGGTATAAACAGAAGTGGCAAAATAGTAGAAACAATGAATTTGGAGGTGTGACATACACACACACACACCCCAGCACTAGAATGGTTTGTTGCTTTGGCCAGCAGTCTCTTGGAACACACAATAGAGGTGAACTTTAGGTCTGTCTGGCAAAACTCCCGAGACAACAACAGCTTTCAACATCGGTCAGTGGTGTCAGAGATGTTCCTTTTCACACCCACAGCCTTCCTGCATAGGGGTGCTGACTTACCTTGTAGAGTGGGGTCCTCACTGCCAGAGCAAGGTGATCTTCAAGGTGTTCATGAGGGAGCCACATTCCAGTGTTTTCTTAAAGCTCGGATGCACCCACTAGCCTGTTGCATGGACTCACTGACATTTCTCTCTTCAGTTTATTGCCTGTTCTGAGTGCTTGAAAACAGTAGTTAGCCAGGTAGAAGCTCCAGGGATTTGGGTGGGTGGGTGGCTGTTAGCAGGGAGAAGTACTTGCAAAAGGGGACACAAGTCAACAAAAGCAAACAAGGCATCTGATCTAGATTGGAAGACCAAGGAACTCTTCCTAAGGAGATGACGCTGGAACTGATCAGCAGGCCTGGGGGGCATGGTAGAGATGAGCATTTTAGGTCAGAGAGGGGGGAAATACTTTCAAGGCCAGGGAAGAATGGTAACAGAGCAGAGAGTGTTTTTCAGATGGTGGTCCCCAGACGATCCATAAGAGGTTGGCAACTAGAGTAAGAGCAAGAAATGAAAGTGTTTGGCTACCAGCAAAGCAAAAAGCCTCAAAAAAAAAAAAAAAAAAAAAAAAAAAAATCCAGCTTTGACAAATGTCTCAAAGCTTGCAAAAAGAACATCTGAAGACTTAAGTTGAGCCTGGGCTAAAACGTCTCATAAAAAATACTTTAAGGGCTGAAAGCTGGCTCCCTGGTTACTAGCACTTGCTGCTCTTGAAAAGGAACCAAGATTCATTGCCAGCACCCACAAGGTTTGCAATGACTAACTCTAGTTCCAGGAGACCTGGTGTCCCTTTTGGCCTCCTTGTGTTCTGGACATGGGTGTAATGCACATTAACTCATCGAGGCAAATAGACATGAACATAAGTGAATCTTTTTAAAAATATTTATTTCGCCATTATATAAGTAAGAAGCCAAACAGCATTTTCAGTGCTTTAAGTTTTTCTAAGTGTCCCAACCTTCATGGTAGTTCTGGTCAAGCCCAGTTTCTGCATTTTCACAATAACTAGCTGTGTCCAAAAGTATTGAACTTTACCTTAGGTTCTGTAGTTGTTAAGACAAATCTGGCCATACATTCAGAACTGCTGACATGTACAGTATCCTGGCCTTTCTTTTTTTAAAGTCCTTTCTTTTCTTTCTTTTTTTTTTTCCTCATTCTATATCCCAGGCTGCTACAGACTGAAATGTAAATAACTCAAGTTGGCTTCAAATTCAAGTCTGCCTCACCCTCTGCTGGAATTACAGGTGTGAACCCACACACCCAATTTTTGAAGTCCCTTACAGAAAAACAAATACAAGGAGAATAGGTTGAGCTTAGCCAGAAAACTATTCGAGAACTAGAACTAGAATTTACCCGCAGCCTGTGAATTTTATAGACGCGACACTGTTGCTAGGGTTACTGCTGCTGTCCAATGGTGTGCAGTCACCGCAGGAAGAGTGGCCAGAGTACCCGAAGCGTGCGCGGTCTCCATGGCTCCCGCCCTGCGCGCGCCTGCGCGTCCCACTCGGAGGTTGCCATGACAGCGGCTGGGCCGCTGGAGCTGAGCGACCCCGGCTCCTTTTGCTTGCCCTCGGGAAAACCCCAGCTCAGCCCGGGGGCGGACCTGTTCTTCCCAGGGTACATTCCAGATCTTTCCGGACCCCCGGTGAGCTCCTTCCCCGGGCCTGGCGGGCTTCGGCGTCCCCGGCCCAGTCACGGTTCGCCCAGAAGAGGCGTGCTTGCGGCCGTCCCCAAAGGTCCCGACAACCACAAAGGCCCCGGAGACAGCCCTGTGCCCTGCGCGTGGACCGAGGGAAAGGACTGTGGGGCCAGCTCCGTCACGCGCAGCCTTGCAACCCGGTGAAGCTCTGCAGGCCTTTGGTGACGCCAGCATCCGAGGTCATCAAGTCAGTTGCCTTCTGCCTTTCAGCCTTCAACTCCATCCACCACCTCTCTCGTCATCCAAGCACCAGCTCCTCTGTCCTCTTTATCCCATAACCATCTCCACCCTTCCCTGTCCACGCTGTGCATTGTTGAATGTCCCTGCGTCTTCACCACTCTCGTCTATAGGCCACCTCCTTCCGCTTCCCTGCAGCAAGGCTTTGCATGGCTGCACATTTCTCGTTCTTCAGCCCTGCAGTCACTGGGAAGATTTTCCATTTCTCTGCACTGTCGCACGCTCTCTGTCTTGGGTGAACCTGAGATGAGAGAAGTAAACGTGGCAAATACAAACATTAGGCTGTTGAAAACATTTCGGAGATAGAAAAAAAAACTTAAATGTCAGTTGCGCACTTATTGATAGCCATACACACGCATCCCATATGTGAAAGTTTAAGTTCTGTGCCTTATTAAGTACTACGTTAGACATAAATTTAAGCAATATGCTCATGCTTGTTAAAAACATCGTTCAAAAACGAACACATAGCTGGACTTTGACTTTTAGGCCAATGTACATCCAACATCCGGGGATGGTGGGATTTACTAGCATGGGCATGCTGGAAACTCTTCTCGTGTCTCTTTTTCATGTCAGTTTCTAAGTGAGAAAACACTTTTGGTGAAGTGAACCAATCAAGAGCAACTTAAGGTAGATAGTTTTGACAAAGAAGCAGGCCCAATAGCCCTTAAAAAAAAAAAAAAAAGACTAATACAGAAGTTCTTAAGGACAACATGGGATAATTTAGATCCAGTGAAATTTTATTTTTGCCTAGAAAGTAGTATTTAACTCATACCTTCATCTCAGAGTATGCATTCCCCATTGGCGCTTACTTTTGCTTTTTGAATTATTCGGGTTTTAAGTGTAAACCTATGTTTAAGGAGCAATAAGTCTGCATTTTAAACAGATATGTTGGGGCTTATAATATTTTTACCTCTCAGACCAGTTAAAGCAGTGTTTCATATATCTCAGTTCAGGTCTGGTTTACAACAGCTGAAGAACTTAGTTCTCTGTACTGAGTTAGAAATGACTACGTTCGGCAGCCTTTCTGACTTTTCACATCGAATAAAATTTAGCAGAATCTCTTGAAAACACACACACGAGGCAATTAGGTTCTCTCTTACAAGGTGCGTCCTCCTCCCAACCTTGTTGAACAAACATTATGGCAAGGTTACATCACATTCTTTTCCTATTCCTCGAACAGTTCTAAACCAGGAGGATGGGGGGGGGGGATTTTTATTTAAGAGACAATTGTAAGGTGGTCACAGCTGCTTGCGCGTCATCAGCCGGAGCTGCTGTGATACATCCTATTGCATACGGAACATCTCACTTAACAAAGAATGATCCCACCTAACCTGCAAATAGCTCCAGGACCACGAAAACCATCCCAACATAACCAGCGATGACTCTTCGAATTCTACATCTGTCCTTGTTCACATGTGTGCATTCTACATGTCGGGGTGCGAGTTTTCTTTTTCTCTTCATCTGTTCGTTAATTGTGTTTCTCATATTGCTGCATGGCTTTCAGCTTTTTAAAAAGTATGTTTCCTTTAGGAATCGAAACCACCTATGAATCATATCCTTGTGTTCAAGATTAGATGTGTTTGAAATATATTTCCGTAGAAGGGAGGACAGGTAGGGTGAAAAGTCACATGATTGGCTGTTCCGGTTTTTGTGGCCGTGTTATTTGTTTGTTCCTTAGTGGTTGCTTATAGACCTCATGATCCAAAACCAGTCCCCTACTCAGAGCCAGAGAGTGAGGTTCTGGTCCCTCTGTTGTAGTCAGAGGGCACCTGCAAGGACAGACTAAAGAACAAGCAGGAAGCTGGGCTCGGTGGCACACGCCTGTAATCCCAGCACTCGGGAAGCAGAGGTAGGCAGATCTCTGTGAGTTCGAGGCCAGCCTGATCTGCAAAGCAAGTCCAGAGACAGCCAGGGTGACACAGAGGAGCCCTGTCTCGAAAGGAGAAAAAAAAAAAAGCAGGAATGACTGCACCTCTGCTGTTTGCCCTCTTTCTTTCCATGGAAAATTCATGATTACGGTCTGTTTGCTGTGACACTTCACTAACCACCTAGGTCATCCTTTAAGTGTGAGAAGTTCTAGAGGTCTAAAAACATCACAGGATGCACTTGCTTAGGATGCTTAATGACCATTTCTTTAGCATCTACTTTGGAGCGATGGGTATACTTACGTACTGTGTTAAATGGGGACAGTTTTAGGTACAGTTTAAATATCAGAGAATGTATAATTCAAACAACACGTTTTTATTACCTTGAGATCTGTTGTATTAGAATTTTAGGATTTCTCAACCTCCACGTCTAAATCCACTGGGGCGGAGGAGGCGGGCAGGTACTGTTCTGGGATGTCCTAACACCATCCCAGGCAGAGGGACCTGGATGTGCAGGGTCAAGGAAACTAATTTAGCAGCATAATGGAAGCAGTGAAGTCATGTGGCATGAAATCCTAATGCAGAGGAGGACTAGAAGATGAACTGAGAGAGCCAGGCAGGAGCCAGGCTGTGGAGAATGTCAGGTGCCAAGCAGGTTTGAACTGAGTTCAGGATTTGAACTCTGCCTAAAAGCAATGCGAACATTAAGCAGCAAGCGATCTGTATTCAGAATGAGCCTTTCAGGGGCTTTACAGAGCACAGGCTGGGGAGGCACCAGCTGACAGCAGCAACTGCAGGGGCAAATGCCACAGTGCTCTCCTGAGCATACCATGAGAGCCCACTGAGCCAGCAAGCATGGAGGAGATGAAGCAGGAAGTGGGGAAAGAGCCGGCAGCTACAGATCTGGAGGCTGTGCGATGGTGAGATGAATGGGGAGGAGTCAGGGACGACACCCAGTCAGCGTTTCTACATCATTTACTGGTGATTGTAACTATGGGATGCAGAAGGTAGCTGGGGCAATGTGGATTATTGCAGGCCGAGTTGTTCAGCTGGCAGTTGGGCGTGCATTGATCTGAGTCCACTCACTTTACGTTGCCCGCCCCCCCCAGCCTGTGTCCTGCTCTCCAGAGTTGGCATCCTCTACCTGTTTGCTCTTGAAGGTTAGGCCTGAGGGACCAGATCTGTAACCCTGCTTCCAGCCCGTCTCCACCTACAACTTGCCGAATGAGAACTGTGTGTGTGGAGGAGGGCCCAGCTCGCTGAGTAATTAACCAAAGGTCTCAAAAGTTTGAACCAGGAGAAACAAAGCCTATTCCGAAATGATGTGTCGGCTTAGGGCTTGAAGAGCTGTTTTCAGCCTCGCTGATGAGCAGCAGCGAAGACTGTCTTGCTGAGAGGAGGGGCATATTCACAGAGAGATCCAGACAGAAGTGCATTAGGAAGCCAGGCGTGGGGGTGAACACCTTTCTTCTCAGTATGGGAGGCAGGGTAGGCAGAGCTCTGTGAATTCAAGGCCAGCCTGGTGTACACAGTGAGACCCTGTCAGAGATTGAGAGAAAGCATATTCTTTATAAAGAAGAGCCTCATGACCCAGGCTGTCTCTGAGCACTTAAAACTCAGGCTCAGCTGAGCTTGAGATCCTGATCCTCCTCCTACCTACAGCAGGTACCCCACCACACCTGCTGTCCTTACAGATTAACCCTTCCAACATTAACAATAATGTTCCTGAGGCAGTAAGGACTTAGCTGGCTGGGGGTGACAGGAAGCTCAAATCCGGAAGGCTTGAGTAGTTGGGGGGGGGGGGGGGGATAGCCCCAAAATAGAATTCACATGTATGAATTCTAAGGGGAAAAAAAAAATGATCTGAAAGACCAGCTGTATGAATCTCAGAGACCTTGTGGGGAGGAGAATGTGACAATGGATGGATGATAAGGGCCTGGGGAGCACGAGAGGCTGAGTTATAAGTTGTGGGGAGGGGGCGTGGTAGGCTAAGAATCCAGGCACCAACCTTTCCTCTTCAGTGTGAGTGCCGGATAATCACAGTTCTGAAGGTAGCCCTCAAAGCTGTTGATGTGTAAAAATCTGAAAATAAACGGCAAAAATAACAAAACTATGATTTTTCTTTTAGAAAGCAAAACAATGCCATACAGACTGTGACACAATAACGTTTATGAGACGGGTGTCCCTGTGAAGTTGGGTCAGACTAACTTACCAGTGGGGACTTCTCCTCCTGTTTAGTGGCTCCAGCACTCACCTCAGTTCACTAATCGGCAGATGTTTAAAAATTTACTTCATCTTGTGTGTCAGTGTGTGTATGTGCACTACTTGGCATGCCTAGTACCCACAGAGGCCACAAGAGGGTGTGGGATACCATGGAACTAGAATTACAGTGTCTTGGTGTTCTATTGTTGTGAAGAGACACCAGGACCATAGCAACTTTTATGAAGGAGAGCATTTAATTGGGGCTTGCCTACAGTTTGAGAAGTTTAGTCCATTAGCATCAAGGAGGCGCACATGGCAGCAAACACTGTTGCTAGAGAGGTAGCAGAGAGGGCTACATCCGGATTCAAATGCAGCAAGCAGGAAGAGAGAAGCCACTGTGCCAGACTTGAGCTTTTGAAACCTTCAAGTCCACCCCAAGTGACACACTTCCTCCAACAAAGCCACACCTACCCCAAAAAGACCACACCTCCCAATCCTTCTCAATTAGTGTGTGCCTGAGGACTAAGCATTCAAATCTATGAGTTTATGGAAACCATGCTCTTATTCAAACCACCATATGGTGAGCTGCTAAGCTGGTGCTGGGAACTGAACCTGGGTCCTCTGCAAGGGCTGCCAGTGCTCCTAGTCTCTGAGCCCTCTCTCCAGCCCCCCAAAGCAGCAGATATCTGACCCACTATCACGGTGCAAGCAGATATATTGTATGATTGCTTTTTAAAAATTTTGTTTGGGGAGTGTCTCAGTTAGGGTTTCTATTGCTGTAAAGAGACATGACCATGGCAATTCTTATAAAGGACAACATTTAATTGGGGCTGGCTTACAGTTTCAGAGGTTTAATCAGTTTTCATCACGGCGGGAAGCATGGCAGTGTCCCGGCAGACATGGTACTAGAGAAGGAGCTAAGAGTTTTACATCTTGATCTTCAGAGAAGGGGGGACCTCCACCCTGGCACATCAAGTTTCAGCAGGACTAAACACATCCCCTCCCACTGAGGCCAAAGGCAGGCAAGAGAGTCAGACAGCCCTTGCTCCCATGGTCAGGGTTCCCACATGATGACCAAGCTGCACATCTGCTGTATATGTAGAGGGGGGCCCCTGGCCAGCTCACCCAGGCAGCTGTGGTGGCAACAAGGTGATTATGCACTAGGAACTCTTTCCACTGTTACTACTGTTTCTGGTGACAATAGACAGAGAAGACCACAGACTCTTCCCTCCTTCCTTCCCTCTTTCCCCCTTTCTTTTCTCTTCTTTCCTTCCCCTCCTTTTTTCCCCGACTTCCTTCCCCTTCCATCACTTTCTCTTCATCTTTCCCATCTGTTCTTCCCTTTCTACCCTTCTTTCTTTTCTTTCTATCTTTCTCTTCAAAGATTTTATTTTCATGTGAGTGTGTGTGTGTGTGTGAGAGAGAGAGAGGGGGGAAAGACAGAGAGAGAGAGAGAGAGAGAGAGAGAGAGAGAGAGAGAGGATCCCCAGTAGAGGCCAGAGTAGGGCATCAAATCTGAAGAAGTTACAAGGGATTGTAAGCAGCCCTGTGTGGGCACTGGGAACAAAACTCAGGTCCTCTAGACTTGAAGTATGACCTCTTGGCCCTTGAACTATCCCTCCATTCCCCTTTCCCTCTGTTTTAAAACAAGCTCTCACTATGTAGCCCAGGCTGGCCTCAAACTCATGATTCTCCTGCCTCCGCCTCCCAAGTGCTGGGATTAGGTGTGTGCCACCACGTCAACTGCTCTTATGTTACTGTTTCTGAAATTTTTCAAACACCCAGAGGAGACGGGGAAAAGAGGGCAGTTGTCTGTGTTGTTTTTATTAATTATTAAACTCTAAGGACAGACTTGGCATTCTATTAAACGATAGTCACTTGCCTACAATTCTCTTTACCCTTTTCTGTTATTTCTTCTCAACAGAAACTCAAATAAGGGAAGCCAAAGAAATGTGTCAAGAAGGCTTGTCCAGACTGGCTCTGAGCAGCACCAGTAAACAGTCCGAGTGCTCGGTGGGAGAGAGGAGGACTCTAGCGGGAGGCCCGGAACTTGTGGACTCCACACTGGGGTCTCGAAGGCATCTAAGCAGCAGCCTACAGAAAGAATCCCCCCAGGTATTCTAGAACTAACCAGATAACTGAGCAGGAAGCAGTCCCACTGAGACCTCATCCTTCTCCTAGTCAGCCATTCAGTAAACTGTCAGGAAGCCAATTCACATGCTTCAGAACAAGGCTTTGCATTTGGATGGCCATCCTCTGCCGCTGTTAGCAATTGAACAAGCTGACTTGCACGAGCCTCAGTTGCCTCACCTATAAATCTGCCATGAAGGCATCTCCCGAGCCTCGTGGCACAGGATGAAATAAGTTAGTTACTTCTCTCATCGCTGTGATCACGTACCCGACAGGACCATCTTAGAGGACAAGAGGTTTATCTAGGCTGCTGGCTTCAGTGGGCATCACCCATCCCAGCAGGAGGGTTCAGCTAGGGCAGTGCCATCTGCAGCAGGGGGGAGGGCTGCAGCTTCCACATCTTGGTGGATCGGGAAGCGAAGAACTAGACCTGAATCGGGGCTGAACCCGGAGCTCACTGATTCAGTTAGGCTGACTGGACAGTGTGCTGTAGGGATCCGCCTGTGCCCCCACTGCCAGGCCTGGCTTTGATGTGTCTTCCCATGGCCCACTGCTGGCCATGCCTCTAAGGTTCGACAGCTCTCTCCCCATGACAGCGCCACAAGCTGGGGACCAGGTGTTCAGACATATGAGCTAGATTGGAGCGGGGAGGGGAGGGTGGATTTCACATTTAAACCATAAGGGAATGCAAGTCTGCTGGTGAGAAGTAGAGTCAGCTGAAACTCTTGTACCCCATAATAATGGGGTACAACTAGTTTTAAAAATAGGCATCGTGTGTGTGTGTGTGTGTGTGTGTGTGTGTGTGTGTGCGCCCGCGTGTGTGTGTGCATTAGGAGCACTGGCCCTCTTGTCAGATGACACTCACGCGTATTTATATTTGGTTTTGTTTTATTTATTTTTTTTTGTGATCATATAAACATAATCTTAGTGTGTTGGGTTAGACCGTGTGAAATTTTGTTTTACAAGTAAAAAAACCCTCAAGTACCCACAGTTGTGTTTGGTTCAGCCTAATCAAAGACATGCACATGGGAGGAAAATGCTATTCGCTGCCTTTCTCTTGTTGTTTTTGAAACACGGACAGGAGCCACGTATCTTAAGAGTGCGTTTGTTGTTAGTTTATCACTAACTGTAGTTTCATTTCAGCATCGGAGTGAAGACCTGGCTGAAGAGGCAGCGCCTCAGAACTGCCTCCTGAGGGAAGTGGAAGGCATAGCACAGAGGCTGGAGACCTCCCTGGAGGAGATCCGAAGGGTAGCCACAGAGCCACGAGAGGAGGAGAAAGCACAGAGAAAGCTAGGTGAGCCGTGGCTTCAGGCGACCACTTTGGCTGTGGTTGTACTGGGATAATCTGAGAGGATGCGCCAAGGGGAAGAGGCCTCAAAGATGAACATGTAAAAGTGTTGCTGCTACTGTGTCCCCAGGTCTTCAGGAAACGCAGGCTTGCCTGGCCAGCCCCAAATGCACAACCCAGGACCGTGTGCCACCCACCGCAGGAGCCACGGCACCAGGCCACCCATCTGTCCCTTCTCTCTGGCTCTACATCCTCCTTCCTCACCAAAAACACCCACCAGCCTACGCTGAAGATTATTTCTGAGTTTTGATCACATGCAATATCGTTCATTTAAATTTTTATTTTATGTGTGTGGTTGGTTTGCTTGCATGTGTGTCTGTGCTTGCCTGGAGCCAGATCTCTTGAAACCCGAGTTACATACAGACAGTAATGATCCGCCATGTGGGTGCTAGAAACTGAACTTGGGTCCTCTGAATGAGCAGCCAGAGCTCTTAACCACTGCACCATCTTTCCAGCCCACAAACTTTAAAATGGTTGGGAGTGGTGCCGCACACACACCTTTAATCCCAGAGCACAGGCAGGTGATATTTCTGTGAGTCTGGAGGCAGAAGCAGAGGAATCTTTGAGTTCGAGGCCAGCCTGGCCTACACAGTGAGTTCCAGGACAGCCAGGGCTATGTAGAGAGATCCTGTTTCAAAAAGTAAAAAAACAAAAACAAAAACAAAACTAAAAAACAACAAACAAAAAAACCCTCAAAGTTACATTAAAAACTTCACTTTGTGTATGCTTGCAAATGTGGGTGACATGCTTAAGGCACACATATAGGAGTCAGAGGACAACTTGAAGGACTTGGTTATTTCCTTCTCCCATGTGGGTGACACCACCATGGAACTCAGGTGGTCAGGCTTGGAGACGCGTGCCTGTGTCCTGAGCCATCTTGCCTGCAATCTGTTTGTTCAGTTTGTTCTCTTGCTCAGTCTCGCCTTTGTGAGACCCACTCACATTACTCCCTGTAGCAGTTTATCCACCGTTGCTGCCTCTATAATATTCCACTGATGCTGCAGTCATCCATTCTCCTGTTGATGAGCATCTGTGCTGTTTCCACTCGGGGCCGGCACGCATTCCACTGCTACTAAAATTTTGCCTCCATCCTGTGGGTATTTACATATTTCTAATCCTGATGATCCAGTCTCTGGATCAGGGACTCAGGGCACGTTCCAAAATACAGTCATGCGCCACTTAACCATGGGGATTCGTTCCAGAAAAATGGGTCATTGAGCAATTTTCTTGTTGTATGAATGTCACAGAGTGTGCTTACATCTAGGTGATATCCTGAAAGCTTGCTGCTGTATGGGGTGTTGACGGTGGGCCCGTGAGCATAGTTAAGATCTTCTCAGTAGTGCAAAGAGGTTCTAATTGGTCCACACCAACAGGCGATGCTTGTTAATGAGCCTCAGTAACATTGCCTGTCATGGGGAGCTTACAGCAGCCTTAACTGTCTTCCCTGTGAGAGGCGGAGCTCTGTGTCTGCTGCGGCAGAATCGCCTGTATGCAGGCTGGTGAATATCCCCCTGCAAGGCTCTCACGCATATTTCTATTTCCTTGCATCTTTGGTTTATTGATTTTTTAAGAAGCCTTTATTCTGAACACATGCCTTTTTGTTGCCTATAAATATTTAGGTTTGCCAAATGGGATCACCTTTTCTGAGCATTTCATATAAATTAAATGATACTTGAGTTTGTGCATCTGATTTCTTGCACTTATGGAGTTTTTGAGATTCAACCATGAAGCAGATGTGACTGCTTCATTCCATTTCACTGCAAGATAAGTTAACTCTTGCTATTTTTCAGGGTTTCTTTTCTTAGTGGCAAATCTAATGGCCATACAGTGTTGCTTAATCATGATTTTTTATTTCTACTTCCCTTTGGCTAGTGATATTAAGTATATATATATATTTTTGGTGTTTTTTGAGACAGGGTTTCTCTGTGTAGCCTTGGTTGTCCTGGACTCGCTCTGGAGACCAGACTGGCCTCGGACTCACAGAGATCCACCGCCTCTGCCTCCCTGAGTGCTGGGATTACAGGCGTGAGCCACCATGCCCGTTTTTAATACTTTTTTGTAACTAGCTTTTGTTGCTTTTATTTATTTGTTTATTTATTTATTTTCAATTTTATTTTCTTATTTTATGTGTATGGGTGTTTTGCCTGCACGTATGTTTGTCTATCATGTGCCCATGGAGGATAAAAATAGGGCATCAAATCCCGTGGAACTGGAGTTAACAGACAGTTGTGGGTTACCACGTGAGTGCTGAGAATCAAACCTGAGTCTCTCTGGAAAGAGCAACAGTGGCCTTAACCACTGAGCCGTCTCACCAGGCTGTGTTACCTCTCCAGCCTCTTATTTATTTATTTATTTATTTATTTATTGAGACCAAGTCTCACCGTGTAACTCTGGCTGGCCTAGAATTTGCTGTGTAAACCAGGTTGGCCTTGAATTTCGGCCTCCGCCTGCCTCTGCCTCTGGCGTTGTGGGATTAAAGGTTTTGTGCCGCCACCCCCATCCAGCCTTTGCTGCTTTTTTAACTGTAGAGTTTCTAATATAAACATTCTGGATTTTAATCTTTTATGAGACAGGTGATTTGCAAGTAACTTCCTTCTCCAAATTGTGAGCACTCTTTTCTAGCAAAGGTGGCTACCCTGCCAAAAGCTGCCATTCCTTTAACCTTTCTCATCTTGTGAAAGCCTGCCTGCTGGCCCAGCCCCTGAATGCCAGGCATTCCTGAGAGTTGGCTGTCATGCCCTGCGCCATGATGAACTAGCCTCAGATAGGGGGGTAGTAGAAGGAAACACACCCACCGCCCTCCTCAGGATGAATGCTAAGAGGTCCTCCTTCCCCACTGTGCCTACTCACCCTTTGGATCCTTGTGCAGCCTTTTGAAAAAGTACAAATTTGTCTCCGAATTACTTTTGCATTGTTCCTGTCTCTTTGTGTGACGCCAGGAATAGTCTCCAGCACTTTTCACAGATCTTCACTGTGTTCGTAGTGTCCTTTGACACACAAAAGGTTTTCACTTTATGCAACTCAATTTACTTTTTTATTCTTTTGTTGCTACTAATCTTGGTATAAGATCAAACAAATTATTGTCAACCCTCCTCCTCAAAAAAAAAAAAAAAAAATCCATAGTTAGAGCTAGCATGGTGGTACATACCTTTAATCCCAACAGGCAGGTGGATCTCTGTGAGTTTGTGTCCAGCCTGGTAATATATCACAAACTCCAGGACAGCCACAGCTATATAATAGAAAGACCCTGTCAAAAAAATAAAAAATCTAGCTGGACGTGGTAGTGCAGTCCTTTAATCCTAGCACTCAGGAAGGCAGAGGCAGGGGGATCACTGTGAGTTTGGGGCTAGCCTGATCTACAAAGTTCAGAACAGCCAAGGCTACACAGAGAAATCCTATCTCAAAAAAATAAAAAAAAAAAAAAAGAAAGAAAGAAAAGAAACAACAATAAAAACCCATATCTAGGGTTATAACTAAAGAAGTGGACTTAGAAAGTACAACTGTGAATCCAGTAGAAAGGTCTTAAAAATGTAACCAAGCAGGGCTGGAGAAATGACTCAACAAAAGCGTACTGGCTGCTCTTCCATAGGACCCAGGTTCAATTCCCAGCACTCACCTGACAGCTTACAATTGTCTGTAACTCCAGTTCCAGGGGATTTGACACTCTCACACAGACCCACGTACAGACAAAACACCAATACATGTAAAATAAAACTAAATAAATTATAATGTAAGCAAGCCTGGCATGGTGTTGCATGCTAGTAATGCCAACATTAGAGAGCCTGAGGCAGGAGGGCTGTAAACGCAAGGCCAGGGTTGACAGGGAATTCCATTCTGGGATGTATAGAAAAGCCTTCTCTCAAAAGAGAAAATTTACAACCAAGCTTAAGATTGGGACTCATTTAAGAAGGCTGATAAAAAGCCAGAGTTTTCAGGAGAAATCGGGCCAATCAAGTTTAAGGGATTTGGTTGTCTCTGGTAAATTTTAACTTTGGGAAAACAGCGTACTTGGCTATGTCATTCTAAAAGCAGATTTTATTTCTGTAGCCTTGGCTAGCCTCGGACTCACTAGGTAGGCCAGGCTAGCTACCCTCAGAGAACCCTCCTGCCTTTACCCCCTGGGTACTGGGATTACAGGTGTGTGCCCCTGCTGTATTGGTGGCCCAGTTTTTAAGATGAAAACCAACTGTTTTCTGAATATCTGGAATACCTCCTTGAAACGTTTTACCATTTGGAAGCCCTGGTTCACTTAAAGTTGGAGGAGCAAACGAGGCTTTTGTGGCTTGCTGTTCGCCTGTCTGTCTGTGGCACACGCCCCACACTCACCCCATACTCTGCTCTGCAGACCCAAGCAAGCTCTGGATTCCTGTCCTTCCCAGAAAGGTCCGGTGTCCCTCCTGCCTCCTCTTTGTTCTTCCTGTCTTCTCTCTGTTGCTCATGCTGCTCACTTTCTTGAATATTTTTTCCCACCCGCACTCCCTCTGCTTCCCCTCTTCCGTAAAGGGTTTCTCTGTGTAGCCCTAGCTGTCCTGGAACTCACTCTGTAGATCAGGCTGGCCTTAAACTCAGAGATCCATCTGCCTCTGCCTCTTGAGTGCTGGGATTAAAGGTGCGCACCATCACTGCCTGGCTAGTGCTTTGGTGACACAGAGGCCATCTCACATCCCTGGCACAGAGAAAATGGCCCTGGGTTCGCATGTTAGCTCTTTCCCCACAGCACGGGGCAGGTTGCTCCGGTTTGCTGACTTGCTAAACTGGGATGCAGGTGCCTGCGTTGCAGCTCCGTCATAATAACATATCTGACAATAGGAGCAGTTGCTCCTGGAGGCAGCAGCAGAAATAGTATTGCTATAATTAGAATATAGTTTCTCTGAATCCGGTGGGTTATAATGCGGTTTGCTCTGAAGATCTGAGTGCTGCCGGCACAGTAACGAGGCGTGCACACTTCCGTAGTGCACTCACGGTGCCTTCTGAAGCCCCATGTTTGCCTCTTGTTGGTAGCAGGCCTTTCATCGTAACAGTTTAGGAAACCTACCAGCCAGTCACAGTGAAGAACCCTCAAGAAGCAAAGGAGGGGAAAGCTGAACCATAAAGTCCAATCCCATCAACTTCAATGCCTCAGGTCTGCCATGCTCGTGTAATCCTTTGTACCCTGGTGGTTAATACGCATCGTCAACCTGTCGGGATCTAGAATCACCCAGGAGACACGACCCTGAGAGAGCCTGGATCTAGTTTCTAGACTGGTATGTGGAGGTGGAAAGAGATACCCTAAATGTGAACAGCAGCGCTCTCTGGGCTGGGGTCCTGGGCAGAAGAGCCGAGTCAAGCCTTCGTCTCTCTGCTTCCTGGCTTTGGACGGGCTGTGACTGTTGCTCCCGCTCTCATGACAGTCTGGAACTGAACCACAAGCAACCCTTCTTCCTTAGGACACTTTTGTTAGGTATTTTGCCCTAGCAATGAGGACAGTGACCAACATAGTACCAAAAACTATTTCCTTCCACAGACGCCAGTAGCACACACCTTGAATCCCAGCACTTGGGAGGCAGAGGCAGCCAGATTTCTGAGTTGGAGGCTAGCCTGGTCTACAGAGTGAATCCCAGGACAGCCAGGGCTACACAGAGAAACCCTGTCTTGAAAAACAAACAAACAAACAAAAATAGAAGCAGAAAGAAAAGAAAAAAATTAACAAAAACCTAACTGTTTTCTGAGATTTTGTTATTTTCATTTCTAGCTTATACTGGCAAAATTCTCAGTACCCTCTGCTTACTACCTAGTGACATTCTGGCCAGCAAGAAATCTTATATGTACACAGTGGTCCCATAAAATTAAATCATCTAATAACATTGTAGCAATCTTGCTATTCAAGTGTACCCTCTGATGTTTATACATTGATGAAATTACCTAGAAAGTTTATCAATAAATACCTTCCCCCTCACCATCATTAAGTGAGGCACAACTGTTTAATGCATACTTTAAACATTCAGCAGCCCTTGTGACTTCAGTGGTCCAAGCTCTTCAGCACGTAATCTTACAGGAGAATGATAAGGAACTGGCAAGTTTGAGATGAAAGGTCCGTGGAGTAAATATGGGATATGGTAGGACTGCCAGAAGGGAATTCATTCAGGAAAGCTTCTGATAGGTTACATTTCTGTACAGACTCAAGTGCTGGTGTTCAAACAGAAAGAAAAGGTATGAAATTTGATTGTCACACGAGTCATTTACTTCTTTTCTTTCTTTTTTAAATTGTTTTTGTTTTGAGACAGACTCCTTCCGGGTAGGCTGCCCTCAGACTAACAGAGATCTGCATGATGCTGGGATGAAAAGGATTGCCCACAATGCCCAGCTCATTTGCTTTGGGGGGGGTTATTCATTTTTATGTGTATGAATATCTGCCCGATGTACATCTGTACACCCCAAGTATGCGGTGCCAGGAGGCCAGAAGAGGGTGTTGGATACCCTGAGACTGTATTTGACAGTTAGCTGCCATGTGGGTTATAGGACTCGAACCTAAATTCTCTGGAGGAGTAGCCAATCTTCTTAACTGCTGAGCCATTTCTATAGCCCTTCATTTACTTCTTGCACATATGTTTGCCTTTCAGGTGATGCACTCGAAAATGCCCGGCTGGAAATTGAAAGATTGAAAGATAATCTGATAAAACTGAAAGAAAGTGGTGAGTCATTAACATATACAGTAACAGCTGATCCCACAATAGCAGAATATGTACAACATTTACATAGATTAATAGTTTAAAATATGTAATAGTTTAAAATATTATTTCGGAGCTGAAAATGGGCTCCACGGTTAAGACTTCAGGCTCTTGCAGAGGATCCAAGTTTGGTTGTGGCACCCACATTGGGCAGCTCACAACCAGCTGTCACTCCAGGGGGAGCTGACCCCCTCTTCTGGCCTCTGTGGACACTTGCATGCATGTGCACAGACACACAGACACACATATGTAAGATAAAATCTTTATAATGTTTTCAGCAGTGAAATTCACAAATACCGCGCCCTCCTCCACTGCCACTCTTGCTGTTGTCATCGCTGTCACTTCCTGCTCACAGAGCAGCTGCTCTGCCAGGAACTTTTCGTTATATCAGGCGGTAGCTATTAATATCCCCATTTCACAGAGAAGGACGCTGAGGCAATAGGCTCACTGAGTTACCCCTCACCTACAAAAAATATCCCAGCCGATGGGGGAATCCTTATCGATCCGATTCCAAAACCTGTCACCAGGACGAAGAACTCGGTCGATTCTGAGACCTCAGCAGCGGAAGGCCCTTGCAATCCGTCCAGCAGTACCTCATGTCTGTTTGCTGGGAAGCCAATAGCCTTGGAACGGTGTTGAATGAGTTCATTGGACACTGCCATGGTTATTTTTGAATGCTACCAGCTGTTGCAAAATTTGGGTATTTCAATGGTCACAAAAGAGGTAATTTACAGAATTTTTTTTTTATCAGTTTTAAATAATTCCAAAATTAGTTACTCTTTCCTTTCAAAATATAGGAATATTATTATAAACTTGAAACTGCTTACCCTGACTCACAAATCAGGTAACTAGAAAAGTCAGTAAGACTACAGAAGACCTGGTTGGCACTTGTGGAAACATAGGATGTACATAGTTTTCACGCACCCATGAAGCATTTGTCAAGAGAGATGCTCTGAGGGCATCAAACAAACAAAGCCGTTCACTACGATCCAGTCAAGTCACATCTCCAACCACGTGGCATTAAATTAGAAATCGGGGACAGGAATATATTGAAGAAAGTTCCCAAACATTCAGAGAGTCAAGAAGATGCTTCCAAATAGCCTCTGCCACCAGGGAAAAAAGTCACAAGAGGTAACAGGAAATATTTTGAATTGACAAAAATGGAAACATGGCCCTGTCAGTATTTGTGAGATACTGCTAAGTCTGTGGCTGAGGACTAAATCGGTGGCTTGGAGGAGTCTGGTGGCACTTAATGTTTACACTAGAAATCAAGTAAGGTGGAAGGCAATCTAAAAATTCAGAGTAAGAAAAGTCAGTGAGGGCTGGAGAGATGGCTCAGGGGTCAAGAGCACTGTCTGCTCTTCCAAAGGACCCGGGTTCAATTCCCAGCACCCACATGGCAGCTCACAACTGTCTGTACCGCCAACTCCAAGAGATCTGACATCTTCATACTAATACACATAAAATGAAATTAAATAAATTATATATATATATATAAAAAGAAAAGTCAATGAGACCAGGTGGTGGTGGCGCACACCTGTAATCCCAGCACTCAGGGAGGCAGAGGCAGGTGGATCTCTGTGAGTTCAAGGCCAGCCTAGTCGACACTGCGAGATCCAGGACAGCCAAGGCTACACAGAGAAACCCTGTCTCAAAAAAAAAAAAAAAAAAAGTGAATGAAATCTGGACCAAGCAGCAGGAAGGAACTATTAAAATAAGACTTAAGGAGCAGTTAAGAGTGGTGGTGCACACCTCTGATCCTAGCACTCAGGAGGCAGAATCAAATGGGTCTTTGTGCGTTCAAGGCCAGCCTGGCCCAGCTGTCCCAATTTTAAAGAGAGAGAGAGAGAGAGAGAGAGAGAGAGAGGAAAGAAGGAAGGAAGGAAGAGAGAGGGAAGGAAGGAAGGAAGGAAGGAAGGAAGGAAGGAAGGAAGGAGGGAGGGAGGGAGGAAAGAGAAAGAAAGAAAGAAAGAAAGAAAGAAAGAAAGAAAGAAAGAAAGAAAGAAAGAAAGAAAGAAAGAAAGAGAGAGAGAAAGAGAGAAAGCCTCAGGGAGACGGCTCCGCAGGTGAAGTGCAGTGGTGTGCACCTGTAATGTCAGCACTCCTGCTTCCAGACTGGAGGCAGAGGCAAGAAGAGAGACCCTGGCTCGGAACAAGGTGGGCGGAGACTGGCTTCTAAAGAGCTGTCCCCTCCCCTGCACTCACATGCATTCCTGCACTGACTATCCAGGCACATGCTTGTACACGCGTGCACACACACAAGCCCGATGTTCTGAGATCAATTCCCAGAACATATACAGTTGAAGGGAGAACTTATGCCAGCAAGTTGTCCTCTGACATGAATGCACACACACACACACACACACACACACACACACAGACACACTGAAGAAAATGTTTCATGTTTCTAGAAGAACCTATGTCGCTGGAAACTTTACACTAAAAAGTTCGCTAGGCTTGTGTGAGAACTACAAACCCTCTGTTCTGTTGCACTAAGTTGGTAGGATATCCTGGTTTGGTGGCTCTCCTGTGCTGACAGCCACACATACAGAACAGAGTAGAGTGGCATTCATGGGTGCCCAGAGCCAGCACCTCCCAAAGTAAAACCGACCACAAGGAATAACTGCCTTTCTCTCTGCTCAGGTACAGCTGACTTGCAGAAAGCAAAGGAACATAACCAGAGGCTGGACGAGGAAATTCTGGCTTTAAGAAACCGGGTTCGATCGCTTGACTCCGAGAAAAAGGTGCTTGGAGAAATGGTCAGTGCGCTTTAGTTCCTAGAGTTTATTTGTGTTTATCCCACAGTGACCAGCCGGTGTGAGCTGTGTGGCTGGTTCTTGAGCAGAACTGGTTCTGACAAGTGTGTGCTCTGACCTGGACACATCTGTCCAAGTTTATGTTCATTTTAGGTGCTTGCCCTGAACAGCAGCACCGGTATACAGCAGCAACATTGCTGTTGTATAGATGTCTTTTTAAATCATTTCTTCTTGGCAGTTTATTGATTTTTTTTTTTTAATAATACTGAAATGTGTTGTCTCTTCAGCTTCAGATTATATTCATTTCATAACCATATTTCTAGTATTGAATACAGACCTAAGTGCTTAAGAAACTTAGTTTTAAATTAATATTAATAAACACCCAGTGGGTACCCAGTGGGTATTTATTAATACCCAGAAATGACCTGTTGATGAGAGTGGAAGGATTAGACTGTGCATTGCTAGCTGCGCTGACCAGGTGTATGCCAACATAGAGTCCTTTTGGAAGATGGAACCTCACTTAAGAAAATGCCCTCATCAGACTAGTCTCTGGGCAAGCCTGTGGTACATTTCCATGATTGATGACTGATGTGGGCAGGCCCAGCCTACGGTGGGCAGTGCCATCCTGCAGGCGGTTCTGGATGTATAAAAAAGCAAACTAAGCTAGGAGACACTCAGCTCCAGTTCCTGCTTCCAGGTTCCGACTGGGCTCCTGCCTTGGCTTCCTCCAATGATGGACTCTAACCTGTAAGCTCAATGGGTGCTTTCTTCCCAGTGTTGCTTTTGCTAGTGTTTAATCACAGCAACAGAAAGCAGGCTAGGGGTAACAGCCGGCCACAAAGCTTTCTCTTGGGAGAGCGCCAGCTTTTTATTCCCGTGTGCTCACAGTTTTCACAAAGCGTTTGAAGAGTGTTAGCTATTGTCTCTGCTAAAAAATTTGCTTCCCCATTTCTGTGGTTCTGACTGCATCTTGTTTGGGTTCCTTGGTGTCAGGTCAAAGGTTCTGTTCATTTTTACCCAGTTTGTTTATTCCAGTGTGATCATTTGTATCGTTCTGTCTTCAAGATTATTTTTTCTATATTGTCCATGGTATTTTCAATCTCATCCAGTGCATTACTCATTTCAAGCAGACTTTTTCTTCTCTAACAATTCCACTTTTTAAAATCCCTTACTCTTAAATTCATTGCATTTAAAAAAAAAAAAAGTGGTGCTTTTGCTGAGTTTGTTTCTCTTATGTGCTTTCCTGTTCTTGCTTTTATTGCTTGAGAATGTCATACAAGCAGATAGTGTATGTTGAGCAAATCCACACCCACTCCCTCCCTCCATTCCCTTCTGCTTTGTCTCCCGAGTGCTGAGATTATTAGTGTGCACCAGCACACCCAGCTAACACATGTGTTCAGTAAAACCTCTTACAGGTATAAGGTTGGTGACCCAACAAACAGCATCTCATGACTGTATCCACCCTCAGGGCACAGATCCAACACAGAGCTGGCCCTTTTCAGTATGTTTGCTTGCTTGGCTATGCTGGCCCACCATGCTATTATGCCAGGAGAAGACCACAGGGCTACTATAATACAGAAATGATGCTAACAAGACACCAAGAGCATCCTCGGGTGGGCTGAGTTCAAATCCTAGCTCTAGCACGTATATGTGACTGAAATGATAACAGTGCCTGATACATCCCAATGACCCAGTCAATACCAATGTATATTTTGTGATCGAGAAGAAGACAGGGCAGGGCGAGCCTCAGACTTTTGTAATTGAGAAAGTCTCATGAGCCCAAGAGTTCTGCCACAGTCAAAACCTGCTGGGGAACCTCAGGGGCAGGTAGGCCTCATCTTGCTCAGGTAGCCCCTGAAGTGTGGCTGTCAGTGGTCCACCCCTGTGCAGCACTCTGTGTCATAGAATTCTTGATATAGAAGACCCTTGGCATTACCTGCCTCACTGTGTGGCCAGTGTCATGTGATCTTCTCTACCAGTATCTGTCTTACTGTGAAAGATGCTCAGGAGAGACCACAGCGTCTGCAGTACTCAGCACTGAGCCTCATGAGTTTGGTTTGAGTAGGTGTGTCAGTCTTTTTTCTTTTCTTTTCTTTCAATTTTTTTTCTGCCTTCAAAGTTCTCTCACACAGAAAAGGCTGGGAACTGCCTTAACTGAGGTTGGCAGCCAGGTGATGAGCTATTAACCCAGGATGGCTCTCAGCCTAGGAACCGAGTGCTGTGGTCAGCAGGTCATCAGAGCCGCTTCCCATGAGCTTGATTCTCAGCCCTGGCCTGGCACCCTCCATCCTGTCAGGGATACTCAGCCTTCAGGTGCTCAGTCCTCCTTTCCTGGCCGCTACTGATTTTATGTTCTAACAAAGGAAGGAGGATATCTCCAGGATCATTTTATGTCCACCTGAGTGGACTTTGGGTATTCCTAGCTGTGTCAGAGACCCTTTGCAAAGTAGGTTAACATTTGAATCTGCAAACTGAGGGAAGTACCCCAAAGGTAGGCCTCATCTAACTGAGGGAATGAATGAAGCAAGAAGAAGGGAGATTCAACTTCTCTGAATCTGCCCACCCTGTGTGTGTGTAAAATCTGTTGGTCATATTTTTCTGGACAGCCCTATTTAATACAAATGGAAGCTAATATCTGGGAATTGGAGATTTGCCACAAATCATGGGAGTTTTCCTGTTATGTTGCTGTTTGTTTGTTTGTTTGTTTGTGGCAAGGTCTCTTTCTGTAGCCTACATTGGCCCCAGATTTGCTACCCTCCTGCCCCTGTGTCCAGAAAGTTTGGGTTATAGCTGTGCACCGCCGTGCTCGGCTGACATAATTTATGAAATGCTAATAGAAATCCTAAAAGGTAGAAATTGTTCAGCTGGCTGAGGAGACCAAGGCCACAAATTCATAACTGTAAAAAACCATGGTGTCACAACACCGCCTGACGGAGAGTCCACGTTTTTGCCCCTGAATCTCTCAAACCATGTTGCTGTGGTCATTAGTACCACACACGGGCATGGTTCCTTCCTACTCCTGCCTCGTGACAATCACAAAAGCTTTCCCTTCTGGGTGTCCTGTAGCAGCTTTTCCCTGAAGAATTCCCTTGAAAATAACAATGTGCACTCATTCTCTTGTTTTTAAAGGAAAAATAAACCAGAAAATCTCCTCCTTTTATCAGACACCTAGACCCATGATAGCATCTCTAAATGCCATCAGGTTCACCAGTAGGTGGACCACTGTATCACTGTCTGTCTGCACGTTCTCAGAGAAAATGCTTTACGAAAAGAAATGGGGGCGGGGGTGGGGGGAAGAGCCGTCCTTGATGGCCCAGCCGGTAAAGATGCTTAGCACCAAGCCAGAGACCTGGGTTTGATCCTTGCGATCCAAGTGGTGGAAGGAGAGAACTGGATTTCACAACTTCTTCTCTGATCTCCACAGGTAGTAGCATGCATAAACTATACCCCCAGACACAAATAGAAACATGTACTTTTTTTTTTTTTTTTGAAAAAAGAAGAAATGTTGATTTTAAATAAAACCCCAAATGCTTGATTTTTACCAGTAAAGACTCAGGAGCCAGATACTGGGGTGAAAACCTACCAGCTCAGAGAGGCAGAGAAAGCACCCAGCCAACATTCACCATACTCAGCCAGCATCACAGGAGAAAGCCCCGTCACCTTCTCCACACTGTCTTAAAAACCCTTCAAATTGAATGTCCCTCCTTTCTATTTCCTGTGCATATCTCTACCCATCCTCTGGACGCCCTCTCACTCTCCCATGTTCACTTCCTGTCAGGTGGTCACTTGCTTCACCTCTTGACCTAGGGTTAACTTTATTTAACCCTGTTTACAGAAAGCTCTTGGGTTAAAGGTGTGTGCTAGGGCTGAGCCACACCACAACCAGAAACTGGTTTTCCAGTACACAATCTCAGGGTTCACAGTGTGAGAAAATATCCTGCAACAGAGAAACTGTGAGCTAGTTGTCAGGTACAGCAGTAGCCACCGAGCCACCGTGCTTTAAGTGTTTGTCAAGTACCAGGATGTGAGCAAGAGTCTCACAGGCAGCAGCAGCTCATGTGATCCTTGGGCAGACTTCCTCAAAGCAGGCACCAGGGTTCCCACTACATAGTTTTTACAGCTTTAGGGGATTCAACCAAAGCAAGAGTCAGCCAGCTGTTGATCCAGGCTTATCCAGCCCAGAGTTCATGTTCCACACATTACCAACCCTGGCGGAGGCGCAGAGATTTATATAGAGACCAATGGAAGTCATAGCACGCCCAGCAGTGTGCTCAGAAGCCGCTCCACACAGAGGCGAATGGGCAGTGTCTCATCCTCTGCAATGCCTTGGCCATCTGTGACTGAGAAAGGTGATGACGAGAGACGGCCTTGGCAGCCTGTGCCCAGGAGGCACGGTTAAGTTCAGAGTGTTAACTGATCCCATCTTCCAGACAGAACCCCCATGGTGCCACATTCTGAGCCGTTAAACTGTTTCTCAAAGTCCTTAGCAGCTGGCCCTTGTGAAGGAGGCAACCTGCAACAAGACCATTGGCTTTCCTCTTCATTTGCTGCTGACTGACAGGTGAGGTGAGGTCCGTCAGCCACCGAGAGCTCTGTAGTCCTGATCTTCCCTATGCCCGTTTCTAGCTTCAAACTTTGGTCACCGTTCTCATGAAGTATGTGAATTGCCTAGACACATAACTGCATTCAGTGCGCCATAAGTTATGGTACATTTTTTTACACACATATTTATAAAATCATTCAAATGCTTTCAAATATATTATTTTTCAAATATAAAACAAGCTATGTGAATCAGTTTTTTATAGATTAAGTATAAATTATAAATTATTTTTTTCAGTTTTCAAATATACTATTTGAAAAAGCTGTCTTACGCATGTTTAAAATCTATCTTAAAAATAGCCATTTGGGATGGCACAAACCTTTGATCCTGGCATTTGGGAATCAGAAGCAAGTAGATCTCTGAGTTCAAAGGCAGCTTAGTCTGCATGGTGAGATCAGACAGCCAAAGATACATAGTAAGACTCTATCTCAAATTAAAGTTAAAATACATGACTTTTCTTTTGCTTATAATTTTTAAACGACTTTTTAAAAATTTATTTATTATATCCATAGTGTTCTGCTTACATGTATGCCTGAATGCCAGAAGAGGGCACTAGATCTCATTATAGATGGTTGTGAGCCACCATGTGGTTGCTGGGAATTGAACTCAGGACCTTTGGAAGAGCAGTCAGTGCTCTTATCCTCTGAGCCATCTCTCCAGCCCACTTACAGTTTATTTTTAAGTTTTGTGTTGGTTAAGACAGGGCATCTCTGTGTAGCCCTAGTGGACCTGGAGCTCATTTTGTAGACCAGGCTGGCCTCCAACTCAGAGCTCTGCCTGCCTCTGGCTCCCAAGTGCTGGGAATGTGCCACCATGCCCAGACATATATTTTTTATCTTAAAATGAAATTTTGAGATTATAACTAATCATTTTCTCCTTTTTCTACCTCTAAAGCCGCCTGTGTACATCCCCTCCACCACGCTTTCTTTCAAATTCGTGGCCTCTTTCTAAATTGTTGTTACAGAAATGCACACACACACACGTGTGTGTGTGTGTATACATATATGTATGTATATATGTATATATACATTACATATGTGTATGGGGGGAAGGAGAGAGAGATTCAGAGAGAGAGATCTCTGACTATATAAGTACACCTGCTCAGTCTGTATAGTGTTGCTGGTATGTGTGTGTTCTCAGGACTGCCCACTTGTTGTGGGATAACCAACTGGTGGCTCTTTCTGAGGAAGCCTGTTTCTTGCTCTCAGCAATCCTTAGTTGCCTGTACTACTAGTGTTGTTCTTGTTCAGGATGGCATTCTTATGGTAAGAAAATACAAGAAAAAATGTACAGTGTCCTTAGTTTTAAGAGTTGAGGTGTCTTAGCCAGGTGTGGTGGCACACGCCTGTAATCCCAGCACTCAGAGAGGCAGAGGCAAGGGGATCTCTGAGTTTGAGGCCAGCCTGGTCTACAGAGCAAGTCCAGGACAGCTGAGGCTACACAGAGAAACCTTGTCTCAAAAAACCAGAAACCAAAATAAAATAAAGTTGAGGCGTCTCTCCTGCTTTATGTTAAAACAGCAGGTGCTGTGCAAGTGGGGCTAAGGAACTCTTGCCTTGAGTGTTGGATGCATCAGAGTGTCCTGTGTGGACACACAAAAGTATTCACTAGGGCAGATGTTGATAATGACGAGGGAAAAAATACATCCTTCCTCCTATCCTCAGGCTATGCTGTAAGTTGACACAACTGATGAGTTAGAAGGAGGAATTCTAACCCTCTACCCTTGAGTCTCTGCATCCATCCTCCTTTCTAACTCATCAGTTTGAGAATGCTTCCCCTGTCTTCTGCACCTTGAACATGGGGACTGTAAATAGTATCTTGGTTAATGTAACAGGATGCTCTGGCTTCTTTCCAATGCTCTTTCCCTTTGTCTCACTGCCAAACAAGCACAAGCCCAAACCCGTAACAAGTCAGCCCATAATTAAAAGGAACTGCAAAAAAAAAACAGTTGGTCTAACCCAAGAAAAAAGGCAAAACTTGTTGGGAGACATTTCTTGGGGTTTGCCTCAGAAAAAGATACCTAAGGAATGTAGCTTGGGACCAAAGAGACAGTTCAGTGGTGTTTATTCCTTGTAGATGATCCAGGTTCAATTTCCAGCGCTCACACAACTCACAGCCAGCTGTAATGTGGGTTCCGGGCGATCTTGTGCCCTCTTCTGGCCACACTGCATTCATGTTGTGCATGTACATACATAAAGGCAAACACTCATACACATAAAACAAGAATAACATGTAGCCTATTTGGAGGGCTGGCAAGATGGATCAGTGAGTAAAGGTGCTTGCCATAGTAGTTTGGAGACCTGAATTCAACCTCTGGAACCACATAGAAGTAGAAGGAGAAAGAAGACTCCATAAAAGTTGTCCTCTGAAGCTGAGTGCAGTGGCGCACATCTGTAATCCCAGCACTTGGGGAGGAAGAGGCAGGCGGATCTCCACGAGTTCGAGAACAGCCTGGTCTACAAAGCAAGTCCAGGACAGCCAAGGCTACACAGAGAAACCCTGTCTCAAAAAACTAAACCAAACAGAAAACAAAACCCAACAAAATAGTTATCCTCTGCCCTCTACTTGTGCACCATTGCACAAGTGTGCCCACATATACCTTGTGCACACATACACACACAGTGATAATTTTTAAAATTAATGTAAATAAGTATAGCTTATTTTAAAAATATTTTAGTAACACTTGTATTTTAACTGGTAATTTATTTGGACTGAGATTTCCATCTTAGAGCCCGAGTTATCAGTAACATAGGAAGACTGAAGAGACACCAGTATGAAAGACCAAGAGGCAATTAATGCACAAGATTTTAATGAGGTAAGGAACGAAAGTAAAAGATGACACTCTGCTTTGAGACAGGTTTCTTGAAGTGAGGCTGGCTACAGACTCACTGTGCAGCCAAGGCTACCCTTGAGCAGTCCTCTGCTCCCACCTCCCACATCCAGCTTAGAAAGATAATTCTTCAGTTACATTTCCTACTACATGTGAGGCAAACCACACAAGAATGCCCAAGACACAGCAAACAGGCAAAGGGAGAGAGCACAGATCTGGGAGTGGTCCTTCTCCAGTTCATTATGATAAGCATACAGAAAGCCTCCATGGAGAAGTCAGTGAGAGCCGGGCGGGGCGGCGCACCCCCGTAACCCCAGCACTCTGGAAGGCAGGAGCAGGAGGATCTCTGTGAGTTCGAGACTAGCCTGGGCTACACAGAGAAACCCTGTCTTGAAAAAAAGAAAGGCAGTGAGGCTTGTGAAGGCTATAGAGTTGATTAAGCTTATTGGCTCATTTAGCAGTGTGAGACTTTAGACCAATATGGCACGTTGTCTCTGAGCAAAGTGTCTATATATGTCCAGGCACCACCATCCCTGATTTTCATCTGGGGAAACTGAGGCTAAGAATAATACAATGACCAGCTCTTACACCATTGGTGACAAAACAGAGGCAGCATGGCTCTGCCCTACCAGGTGTGTTTGCCCTTGATAGACTGTTCTTCCCATTGAACATTTCAAGGGCATTCTTTTATTTATTTTTTTAAGATTTATTTATTATGCATACAGTGTTCTGCCTGCACGTATGCCTGCACACCAGAAGAGAACACCAGATCTTATTACAGATGGTTGTGAGCCACCATGTGGTTGCTGGGAATTGAACTCAGGACCTTTGGAAGAGCAAACAGTGCCCTTCACCTCTCTGAGCCATCTCTTCAGTCCTCTTTTTTTTTTTGTTTGTTTGTTTGTTTTTGTTTTTGTTGTTGTTGTTTTTTGAGACAGGGTTTCTCTGTGTAACAGCTCTGGCTGTCCTGGAACTTGTTCTGTAGATCAGGTTGGCCTCGAACTCACAGAGATCCACCTGCCTCTGACTCCCAAGTACTGGGATCAAAAGCATGTGCCACCACCTCCCAGGTTTCAAGGGTATCCTTGCTCTGTGCTCACGAAGGCACATTTTTATTTTGGGCAGATTCCCTAGTAGGTTTTATACACAGCAAAGAGTGTTCACTGATGTGGTTGTGTAGAGTAGACTTTGAAGCGAGCACTTGTGAGATGTGGAATTGAAAGTCATCAATGTTGGTCAAACTCAGTATGACTTTGGGAAGTGACATAACGTCTGAGACATCCTGTGGGTGGGCAAAGTGGTGATAGTTAACATTCCTGTCCCACAGTGGTCCTTCGAAAACAGTGTGAGATACTTCATGTGCAGACTTTCACCACAGTGTCTGATGCACGATAGACCACCAGTAAATGGCAGCCATTACCATCATTACCCCCAATGGTCCTCAGCATTTCATTTGGGAAGATTCCGTCAACCTGCCTAATGCCTACACCCTTTAATATAGTTCCTCAAGTTGTGGTGAGCCCCAACTATAAAATTACTTTTGTTGCTACTTCCTAACTGTAATTTTGCTACTATTATAAATTGTAGTGTAAATATCTGATCTGTAGGATGGTCTTGGGCGACCCCCGTGAAAGGGTCATTTAACCACCAAAGGGGTCGACCCACAGGTTGAGAACCACCATCTTGCTGCCAAACCTGAGAACCTGAGTTCAGCTCCTGGGACCCACATGGTGGGAGAAGAAAACTAATTCCTACTAACTGCCCTCTGACCTCTACATTGTGATATGTGTGTTCTCCATCCCACTAAATAATTAATAACATTTAAATATATTTAGGGCGTTATGAGCATTTATAAAATTATGCCTGCCACAGTAACGGTGCTGTAGGCAGGACAAGGCTCACGACATGTAGCAGTTATATCCACTGGCTTGGAGAGAAAAATGTGGCCTATGAACTCCTTTTCCTCAATTTTTATATCCCACACATGACTCCATCATTAATATATCATTAAATATCCCACACGTGAGTTGATCGTTAAGTTAAGCTGGAGGTAAATGTTGTTAGATTTTACAAGTAACAATGCTATTGTATAATAATTCACAAAGTGAATTATGCAAAATGGTTTTTACAGATATTGAAAATGAGCCAAGAAAACATTAAAGTATTGGAGAGTGACTTGTCAGAAGAGGGAGAGAAGAGACAGCAACTGACCTCTGCTTTTATTACTCTTCAGAAGTCCTTGAAAGTGGATAGAGAGGTATCACACTCAGGGTGCTGTGTTCTTCCTGGCTTTCTACTTTAGGGACTTCATGTGATGATTTGCTCCTATTTTGAAACAAACTATGGCCTTGGGGAGACAGCTTGGTGGGTAAGAGCCCTTGCTCTGGAACTGTGAGGACCTGAGTTCAAATGCCCAGCATCATGTAACAAGTCACGTGTGACTGAGTGTGCCTGAACCCTCAGCACTGGGGGATGGAGACAGGAGGAGCAAGAGAGCTTGCTGGCCAGCCACCCTAGCAGAAGCAGCAAGCTTCCCCTTCAGTGAGAGACCCTGTCTCAAGGAACAGACAGAAAGCCACAGAAGGAGACATCCAGTGCCCTGCTCCACCTACCCATACAACACTGATACATGGACCACACAACAGTGTGACTTAGCCAGGGATACTGTAATTCAGAACCATTGTCTGGGTGGCTTTAACAATGGGACTCTACTTCCTTACAGTCCTGGAGGCTGGCAAGTCCTGGCCCCTTGACAGAGTATGACCCATGTACTCTTCTTACAAGGGCTTCATTTATTTAGGCTGGATTAGGGGCTCCATGCCCCTGGCTGCCTTTTCACAGCCCTACCCCACCTTCCCTTTGACTTCAAGGCTCCCGGAGGACATTAAGCAGCCCCTCTCCTAAAGTAAATGTCATGTGACCTGTTGGCTCCTGGGTACGGCAAACTCCTCTCATCGTCTGCCCCTCAAACACTGCAGATCTGTGCGACCTGTGTGAAGCGTGAGGGAAAAAATGTATAACTATATATGAACTGGGTAGAAACAGGTAATCTGAGGGTTGGAGGCAGTGCTGGTTCATGAGTCGCTGAGCACGCAGTGAGTGCAACAGCAGGATCTGTAGAGAAGAGCAGAATCTGAAGTCCGACAGACATGGGAACCGGCTCTGCAGTTTTCTGGCTGCATGAGTTTAAGTGCTCTTCCATTTAAGTTCTGGCCAGCCCTAGTTTCAGAAGTAGCTAGGAATGCGGTAGATTAAGGCTATACCACACTGTAATGCAAGTTCTATGCAAAATGCTGTGAGCTACACCTTTTAACTTATTATTATTGTATATACATATGTATGATTAGGGAGACAATTCATTGCCACAGCAGCAGTCTTGAGGCCAGCCAGCAACTCCGTGGAGCTGGTTCTCTCCTTTCGTGTTTACATGGATCCCAGGGATCAAATTCAGGTAACCAGGCTTACACGGCAAGCTTGGTTCACCTGCTGAGCCATCTTGCCAGCCCTGTATTTTTCAGGCGAGTAAATATTTAATGCAGGAACTGGTGAAGATCTTATGTTTTTCCAAGCTTTGCATAAGATAGAAAGGACTGTAGCCACCCAGCCTTTCCTTCTGAAAAGTTAAACACTATGAACCTTGCATTTGGTTGACATTTAAAGTCGACCACTTGTTAGGATCATTTCAGAAATCCTTTTTAGAAATTTTATTCCTTTGCAGGAAAATAGACTTGATTTATCTACAAAATAGCTTCATTTCTTTAAAAAAAAAATTCTTGGGGCCTGGAGAGATGGCTCAGAGCACTGGCTGTTCTTACAAAGGTCCTGAGTTCAATTCCCAGCAACCACATGGTGGTTCATAGCCATCTATGATGAGTTCTGGTGCTCTCTTCTAACATGCAGGCACACATGTAAGCAGAACACTGTATAAATAATAAATAAATAAATAAATCTTTTTTTAAAAATCACTTATTTTTTATATTTTTAATTTTTTATTAAGTAAAACAATTTTTAATTTAAATATATTTTGATCTTTAAAACATCTTCATTTCTTAAACAGGAATTCCAAAAATCGAAATCAGAACTCCTGTGCCTTTATAAGGAAATTCAAAATCTTCCAAGGGCTGAGGGCAGAGACCAGTTTTTAATAGCATATAACCTGCTACAAAGAGAGAATTCTGAATTAGAAGACAAGGTGAGATTGGACTATTACTTATTTGAGTGTTCACTATTAACATGTCTGTGCGTAGAGTAAAGGAAACTTTCAGTAGCAGATTTAGAAATCAAAGTTTCTTTTACTAGCATGTAAGGAAATGACAAAGAGCATGGGTTGCTAGTCAGGGCAAACATTCCCTCTTCAACCAAACTGGCCCATAGGTTCCTCCTGTGATCGTGTGACCTCAAATCAGCTTCCTAGCAGCTGCATTTCTAGAGTATGGGTTACAGTGTGGAATGTAGAGAGGGAAAGTTCCAGAACACAGGGAGGTGTGTGTGTGGCGCGGTCTGCAAGGAGCCCTTGCTGGTGGGGCCTTGTTAGTGAGTCATCCGCATGCTGAACAGTCGGTCCCACTCCTCGGCAAAAAGGGAGAAGAGGATGAGCAGGAGGAGGGGAAGGAGTTAACAATGGAGGAGAGGAGAAGGAGGAGGAAAATACCAACAGCTCAAAACATTTCTAGTCTGAGGTACACTATAAGGTCACATGATGCTTTCTAAGCCCTTGACTCGGTCTGCAGCAGTTAGTGATCTGTCTGGGAGCTTTCGGAAGAAGTCTCAGTTTGGCGGCTTCAACAGACACTCATGGACCGCGCAGTTTAAATGACCAGCATCTATTGCTCGAAGCTCTGCAGGTTGGGAAGTCCAAGGCGAAGGTGCCAAGAAACCCCGTGTTAGGTGAAAGCCACTTCCTCATTTGCAGGTGGCAGTCTTCTCATGGTTGTTTCTTCGCCTCCCCCATCCCCCACCTTCTCTTCAATCTTTGTGTGCATGCACTTATGTGTGTGCCCATGAATGTTTGTGTATGTTAATGTGGACATGTTTGTGCCACAGCATGTGTGAGGGTCAACCCTAGGTGGCCTTCCTGATGGGCTTGGGTTAGGGTTTATTATGTTTTGGTACTGCCTATGCTAGGCCAGCTGGCAAGCTTTTTTTTTTTATCTCCCTGCCTCTGCCTCCCATCCGATGGCAGGAGCAATGGGATTCCACACACACACCCCTCCACTGCCTTCCACCCCATCCTCCTATCCCATCTGGCTTTACATGGGTTCTGGGGACCAAAACTCAGGACCTATGCTTTCAATTCAAATGCTTTACCCAATGAGCCACCTGCCCAGCCCATGGAGTTCCTAAAGTGTGCCAGTGTCATCCTGGGAGCTCCACCCTTGTGACCCAGCTTCTGCTTAAGGTCCCCTCCTGAGACTTGCCTTATTGAGGGTGAGGGCTTCATTTCCAGTTTAGTGATTCTGAAAGAATTACAGCCTGTTTCTTTGGAAGAGTGTCCCTCGGTTTGGGTTTTCCCTGCTGTGTCCTCACTGTACGATGCAGGTTGCTTGTTCCGGGCAAGAGTCCTGTGGAAATGACGTCTCCTTCATGTTTTATTGGGAGACTTGAGCTTTGTTGTCATTGTTGTGTTAATCTTGGTTTGGCAGTTAATCTCGTTCCCTTTGCGTTGATAACCCCTCTCATGGATGGTTTCTCTGGGACGCTGCATTCCTGTCCATCACTATTGTTCATGGAGTGGTTTTGTTTTGAGCCTTTGTGTCTTGAACAGTCCCCAAGCCTCTCTTCAGAACATGTGGCCCTCTAGACTCAAAGGCACACATGTTCAGCAGACTGTGGGCTCTTCCTTATGGATTTGCCGAAGCTTTTTATTTCCCAGACCTTTTGTTTGCATCACTTCTAGGCTCACGTCACAGAAATTTGTAGCGGGAACAGGTGTGTGATCTGGTAAGCCAGCTCATTCAATTTACACAAAGAGCCCAGGGGCCTGGGTGATTGAACTACGGCCAAATTACGTGGCGCTTCTCAGCCTGTGCGATTTCCGTCCTAAGGTCTTGCAGGGTGGGGCCCGCAGCTTAGTTCTTCCGTGTTTAAACACAGCTGGTGATCAGACGGAACTGTTCTTGTTAAAACCAAATGGGTGCTCATCCTTTCTCACACCATCCTCGACTTGAAAGGGCCGATGGGCATCACTTTCTTCACTATAAATAGCAAAGCTTTGGGGCTGGAGATGGGGCTCAGAGGTTAAGAGCACCTATTGTTCCTGCAGAGGACCCCACTTCACTCCCAGCACCCACACAGAGCGGCTCACAGCTGCACGTAACTCCAGCTCCAGGGGATCTGACTCCCTTTTCTGGACTCCCCAGGCAGCTGCGTGCAATGCGCAGGCATGCACACATACACCCGTAATTTTAAAAAAAAGATAAAAATATTTAAAAAAACAAAAACAGAGGAAAGCTTCTGCCTGCTTGGGAGACCTCCCAACTTTGCTACCTTTGGGCCCAGAAAACCTGGAAAATGCTTGGTGTTTGTGTTACCATTGCTTTGAATTTGCTAGAGCGTTCAATCCAAGTTCTACAGTCTGCTATTCTTTAAAAACCGTAATTTATTGTCACCATGTAATGTTTGCATTTTCAGAACAACTGTAAAAACGGGAAATTAAGTAGCATTTTGGAATTTTTTTCCTCCTTGCAAAAATAATGCAAGCACATTAAGAAAACTGTCTTTCAAGACCCTCCCCTACGCCTGTCCACCTGTTCCTCCAGCTCCTCATTTTGTCACCTCCCCCCCCCCCTTCACAGCGACTTGAGTCAGCTCTAATGTCAGTGTCTTTTACCACACGCTCCCCAGGGCTCAGATACGTCAGACATAGCCTCCCATCTTCCACGGTTGGTTTAAGGCCCACCTTCACTAGAGAACGACCACCCTTGGGAGAGAGATATGGATGTATAGATATAGTCTATACTGCATTCTATAGTTTTTCTTGAGAGGAAAAGAAGTCTTAGTAGACTAAAGAAATCTCTTAAAATAAGTTGAAATCAAGCTTTGGATTAATTCCACGGCCCTCAGACTCAAGCACAGTTATTGCAGGAGCTTTGCCTTTTCAGACAGGCAGCTATCCGTGCTAGTTCAGTACCGTGATGGAGACCAAATTCTATTCGTAGAACTTTCATTTCCCAACCAGCCTCTCTACTCCTGAAAGGAGGTGCATTTTGATTTCATAAAACATAAAAACAAGTAACCTTTGAGAATGGGAAATCTGCAAAATCTTTTAAAAGCAAGCAAACAAAAGCGAGTGTTTTGCCAAATCCTTCAATGCAGTATCCCTCAAAGAACCTGCGTGCACCAGATTCCTGGGACGCTTACACCGACCCATTTCCAGCCAAACACTGAGCAGGAGCCTCACAAGAGGCTTTTAGGTAAACTGTGTGACAGGCTGACGTTTGGGGGCCACCACAGTTGACAGTTGTCTTAGTTAGAGCTTTATTGCCGTGAGCAGACACCGTGAACACATCCACTCTTATAAAGGAAAGCATTTAATCGGGACGGGCTTGCAGCTTCGGAGGATTAGGCCATTATCGTCATGGCGGGAAGCACGGCACCATGCAGACAGACTTGTCGCTGGAGTAGCCGAGAGCTCTACATCTTGATCTGCAGGTGGAAGGAAGAGGCAGTGAGCCACTCGAGGAGGGCTTCCGCTTCTGAGACCTCAAAGCCCACCCCCAGTGACACACTTTCTCCAACAAAGCCACACCTAATAGTGCCACTCCCTATGGGACTATGGGGGCCATTTTTATTCAAGCCTTTACAAGTTCAAGTGTTTTCAAATAAATGGGGTCAGAGTGGAAGAAAGTTCCCTTCTGTAATGTACTCATTCTAATATTTCCTCAAGGCGATTATTAAGCCCAAGGCTTTTATGAATCAATGAAGCTCAGTCAAGACTTGAGGACAAAGGTGTGTGGTAATCATATAAAATCCCAGAGATCACTGGAGTTCTGTTGCTGTTTGTTTCTTTGTTTCTGTGTAAAGGTAGAGCCGGATTATAAACAGCAGTCTGAGATGCCATCGCCAAGGACCAAACTAGCTGTGTGTTTGATTGATTGATTGATTTGTTGGTTAAATCATGGGGTTACGTACCTTTATGTCTACCTTAAACATGGATTAAGTTATATGACACCTGCAGAGTATTTAACTAGATTGCATAGCTTTAGGCAGTAGTTAAGCATTTGGTGGAGTCAATATACTTTTTTCACAGCTGTATGTAAGAGTCTGCAAAATAGACCTTTGCTTTTTCACTTAACTTTACAGGTCTTGAAGTTTTCACAAGAACTGGAACAGTTAAAGTATTGTTCTGTAGGGGACAAAACTGCTAGTTTAATGACAAGTGAAAACCTCTGTGAAGATCTGGTGTCTAAAGCGCCACCTTTGGAAGTAGAGATTCTGAGCCCGAGCGAAGAAAGGCAGGCACTCTGGTAAATTGAGAAAATCCTGAACACAGTGATTGAGGAGGGGGAATTTTATTTGCTTTGGTTATCCTGATGATCTGACATTTGTTTTCAAGAGATGTAATCAAAAAAAAAAAA